CTTCTGACGTCATACCGCACGAATCTCACGACCTCCCCTTAAAGTATTTGGAACCTTGTTCGCTACATAAATTTGGCAATATTGTGTGTCGTGCGCTGAAGAGTAATCATACTGGGTAGGGTCCTGGTAGGGTCCGATTACAATTCAGGTATAACTCGTTGGCTATCGCCGCCTACTGGGGTTTAGTGGCTTGTTAATATATGAATGTAGGAATACTATTTTTAAACCAAACAACTCAAATATTTTTTATTTATTGATAGTTATAGATGATATACAGGGTGTCCCGAAATTAGACGGTCATATTTTAACAGCGTAATCTACATCCAAAAATAGTAGTAAAAGTTCATATAAACATAGGTCCGAAAACTTTTCTTTTCCGAGATACAGGGTGTTAAAGGTGAAGTCCTGATACCACACTTTTGTAAATATTTTCTAAACGTTTAAAGATAATTAGGTAAAATTTGTTACAAATACTTACCTTTTTACGCTTCATTTATTGGACTAAACCCCAGTTATTGATCATCTTCTTAGGTGGGTAAATTAGGGGGAGCTTAGGGTAAAATTGGCGTGTGTGTCTGTGTGTCTATATCCACCATACCTCATGAACCGATACACAGAAAAACACTAAATTTTAAACTTAAGTTTTATTTCGGCCTGACGTGAAATGATTAGATTTTGGACAAAGTCGGAACATCTGGGGGGTACTTTATAGGAGGCCGTTTTTATATTTTATTGAATATATCTGTTATTTATGTTTGGAGAAGAAAATTATTCAAATAAAAGTTCCTTCTAATATTATTATCTAATATTATATAATTTTTGCAAAAATTTCCTGAAATGGTGCGTATTCGAGAAATTTGACAAAATGTGCAAAATTCTGATTTTTATGAAAATTGTTGAACTAAAGTTGTTTGCGATATTGATCTCTATAATTTTTGATTATACATGATTTTTCTAAAATGGACCGTAATGGAAAAATTGTAGGAAAATTGCTAAATTTAAATTTTTCAGTATTTTCGTTTTCAATGAATAACTATAGAAAAATGTTTCGAGGTAGATGTATGTGGAAAATGTATATATTTAGTTTATCCTCTAAACATTTATAGAGGTACTGCAATAAGTTAGTTGTACAAAATAAGCAGAAAAGCCTATAATAACTAGATAGGAAAGTCATGTGTTGGACACATCAGATTTTTTGACTATAAAATTTGGAAAACCAATATTTTCTGTATAATAAAGCTACATTTGTTGCATCTCGCTAGAACGCGCCATTTTCAAGAGAAAATCATGTTACCTTATTCGAAAGTGTAAACAATAATTAGTAGGTCTGTAAAATTAGAAATTTTATTTTTTTTTTAACTTTGAAAAACCAGTAACTAAAGACATTTTAGAAAATATTTACAAAAACGTTTTCGGACCTATGTTTATATAAACTTTTATTCCTATTTTCAACCGACTTCATAAAAGGAGGAGGGAGGTTTTCAATTCGTTGCAATATTTTTTTAAATTTTTTTTATGTATGTTCAGCGATAATTCTTTAACACGGTTTCAACACGGTTAGTCCGATTTCAATGATTCTTTTTTTGTTAGAAAGGGGGTACTTCAGGGGTGGTTCCATATAAATTTGGTCAAAATCTATTAATTGGGCCCATGAGAAAATCCTCAAACTCTTCATTTTTTATGTATGTTTAGCGATAATGCTTTGCCACCTTGTCCGATTTATATGATTCTTTTTTGGTAGTAAGGGGGTACCTCAGGCGTGATCCTATATAAATTTGGTTAAGATGTGGTGACGGCATCTGCACGTTTTTGAATTCGGTTTTTTTTAATTTTTAATTTCTAATACTTGTAGGATGTAGATTACGCTGTTAAAATATGAACGTCTAATTTCGGGACACCCTGTATATTGGAAATTCGAAATAATAGTTATGACGTAGCGTTGTTTTTCTAATTGTAATCGGACCCTAGGTATATGGATACGAAAAGTGATGAATTAGAGATAGGTAAATTGTATTTATTGTATTAAAGGAACAACAAATATAAGTACAATTAAATAAGTATATTAATATAACAATTTTTTAAAGTCTGTATTAAAAAAATTGTTTTTCACATAGAATATAAAATTAAAAAATAACTATTAAAACACGAAATGTTAATTTTTTCTCTTTTACAACACAAAATATACAATACTGTTGAATCAAAATTTTCTCTTGGCAGCAGGTGGTTTTTGTGACGCGACAATTATGATGCTTTGTATCTCATGAATTAAAGCTAATTCTCTTTCAATCTTAAGGTGATCATACCCCTTATTATTTTCGGACAAGAATATCTCAAAATATTTAAATTTTGGCAAAATAAATTAGGCAATAATATCTATAATATGCATATATTTTAATGTTTTAATTCCTTCCAGTTTCCCAAAAAAACTAAAAGGGCTTTAATTTTGAAATATCATAATGAAAATAAATGCATTCCTCGACAGCACTATTCTTAATATAATCCCCAAATTTAAGCTCCTAATGTCTTGTTAATGATTTCTTAAAATTCGCCAAAATTAGTGGCTAAAACGCTTCGTTAAGTGCTATCTTCTGGTGTAAAATGGTGTAAATTATTGCAAGAAACGAATAATGACGATACGATGTTACAAGCGCGTTACACAAGAGGGGAGCACATAACGAGGCGTTTTAGCCATTAATTTTGGCGAATTTTAAAAATTCATTACCAAGACATTAAGAGTTTAAATTTCGGGATTACATTAAGAATAGTGCTGTTGAAGAATGCATTTATTTTCATTATCATATTTGATTTTTTTCCCCGGAAACTGAAAGGAATTAAAACTTTAAAATATATATATAGTTAATATTTCCTAATTTATTTTGCCAAAATTTTAATTTTTAAACAAAATTACTTTTTGAGATATCCTGGTCCGAAAATTATAAAGGCTGCTGCATTCACCTTAATATACCAACATACAGGGTGTTTCAAAATTCATGGGACAAATTTCAGGAGGTGATTGCTCGTATGAAATTAAGATGGATGTTTCCTATAACAAAATTTCCTCAGCGCACCCCTTTCCGAGATATCACCCTTAAGAGGTGCTGACTAAAATTGAGTTTCTATTTTTTTTTCTAAAATTTCAGTAAAGCTAGAAACTTGAAATTCTGTAATTTTCGTGCACTCGCAAAGGCCTAACCACGGATATTTTTTCAATATTCCTGTTACATTATAGGGGGGTGAAATTAGCAACCCTTACTTTATTTCATATCAAAACTTTTTTTCGAGATGAAGTTTTGCATTGGCACATGTCGTATTTCTCTAGGATTTACTAACTCTGGCAGCAAACAAATAAAATAGAAATTTGTCAGCTGTGCATTTTTGCCATCCAGAATTTTTTATTTCATAAATTAACTAAAAACTAAATTAAAAACCTAACAACTCCTCAACAACAAACTTAGACGATCACAATAATTTCGCACCTCTTCAAAAACAACTACCTATTTTTCGACACAGGTAAATTGGTAATCTTTTTGAAAAAAAGTTTTATAGAAAATAGTTAAGATATTTGTTATAGAATGACGAGCCATAAAATTAAATTTGTTAAAAAGTTGAAATTTTTGTTGTTTTTATTTAAAAATATAAGTTTTTCGCGGTTTTGGTACATTAAAAAAATAGGGCTTCTATTTTCAACGGCCTCTTATCCTCTGACAGACATTTTTCCTACTCAAATCTGACGTTTTCTTCTCTTTTTTGTGAAATTTATAAAATTCCAGTGTTGTCAGATTACTAAACTCGATTATCTAATCCGTAGCCGGTGCATAGAAAATATTCACTAGCCATTTAAACGAGATTTGCAAATCTAGATTAAATTTTAAAACGGTGCATATGGGCGTAGTAATTTAAAGTTCGTTTAACACAATGGTAGAATCAGCTCTTAGACATTCCAATGACCTGTCAAATAATAGCTGCCAGTGGAAAGGGCTCATAAATCTAAAGGATTGCGACATAGCCTTCCATCTTGGACGGAACTTTTACTTGAAATAGTAGTCGTCAAGCCTTGCAATTTATAAAAAATATATAAACGGTGTTTTTAAAAATAGTTTTCTCGTTGTGTTCGACATAAAATATTTAAATTTAAACCATTAATAATTATGATTTCACGTATTGTAAGACTACATCGTATGTCGCAACCCTGTAGATATACCAAACCTTAGCACCGCGTTTCATTTGTTTTGAGTGTTTAAAATAGTATATTATGCAACGATCATGTAATGATGGTTATTAATACACGAGCATTAACCGGGATACGAAACGAGCCAAAGGCGAGTTTCGTATGGTTTATGCGAGTGTTTTAATAACCATTACATGAGAGTTGCATACGCTATTTTTTCTACACCCGATAAATAATCAAGACCTATAAATATTATATTTATATTGGTATTGAACACAATAACAGTAATTACTCGTATTTCTATAAAAAATTCTACAAAATTGTAATTAATGGTATTACTTCAGGTATTGGTATTTCCCTAGATTTTTGCGGTAAAATATTTTGTACTGTATTTTCTGCTTTCTACGATATGTGTGGAGGAGTCTTCTATATCGCTAATATCAGACATTTTAATATTATAATTATCGAAGTTTAGCTACCTACGAAAATTTAATACGTTTTGACAACTAAAATAATTACATAGGAACCTAGGACAAACGTCAAACAGCATGCTTGATTGAAAAATTGTAGGTTTCTATTGATTAAAAATCTGTATCGTAATGAAAAATCTGTATCATAATGGGTATCATTATGAAACGGATTATGGGCATATAAGTGCATTATTATAATACGGGTGTAGAAAAAAGATAAATTTTTATTTAATAGTAATTACTAGCATGAATACGGGGTCATTTATAAATGTGTTAAATCAAATGACAAATAAACTTATCTACAAATTTTATTAATGGATATATATTTATATATATTGATTTGAATATTTTTCTGTTTTTAGTACCAATACGAGTACAAAGTAGATAGTCCATCATCGAGCACGTACTATGGAAAAAGTGAAGCGGGGGATGTTACTGGAAGAGTCACAGGAACGTACTACGTTCTATTGCCAGATGGCAGGCTGATGACTGTTGATTATTTTGTAGATGGAGATTCTGGATTTGTGCCAACAGTGACGTTTTCGAACCAACAACGCAGTGGATAAATAATTACGATATATTTGATCATTTTTATTTGTAATACGATTTTTTTTTTGTAAAAAAATATAAGACTCCGAAATATAAAATATATGTATATTTTATGTAGAAAAACACAACATCGGCTCCCTACCTAACCCCCTTGAAATCGGTGACAATTAAAAATAGCTTAAAATCCAAAATTTTATTGTTTTCACATATTTATATCTGATTTTCTACTAACGGTAGGTCTCGGTCAAAACAAAACAATTAGTATATTACATTACGAGTGTGGAAAATCACTTTTCACATAAGTGATGTACAATATTTTTCCTACGACCACAAAATAATTTCATCGAAAAATGTAAAACCAGGTTATTAATATAATAATTAAAATGTATTTAAAAAAATAATCAACAACAATCGTATTTATTCAATTTTCATATTTTTTAAACAAAAAAAAATTAAAAAACAAAACAAAAATAAAAAAACAAAAAAAAATTCTGGCCCCGCCAGGATTTGAACGCGGTCGCTCGCCAGGTCTCAAATGGCAAAGTTGATAAGTTTGACACTGTATAACCATCTGAGCTAATATACCTTGCGTGAATTGAATGATCTAATCGGTTATGTGTTTAACCAGAATAAAAAGCAAACATATCTTAGTTATTTTAAAATTATTTTAATAATAATTGTTAAAGATAAATATCTAGGATCTAATTTACAACAATTTCAATAATTTAACAATCATATCGATTTTAGTATTAATATGGACATTACATAGATCAAAATAAAATTGATGATTTGACATTTTGTGACAGCTACTGCTAAAAGTAGCATATTCGTACACGGGTGGAAACTAAATTCTTATTCATACGCATGTGATATAGGACACTTTCCATAGGACTATATAGTGTGATATGTGTCACTTAAGTGGTCGTAGGAAAAAATATTTTTTTGTTGTACTTTTTATCAAATATCTCTGAAACGGTCCATTTTAGGGACATCATTAATAATAGATAATTTGATTATTTTGCCCTACTTGTTAAAAAATATACAATTCAGATCACTCATTAGGATTAGGCAATTTACTGTAGATTGCAGTTTCATTGGCGTCGTTTGGGGGGGGGGGGGGCAAGGGGGGAAGTTTACCCCTGGCTTTTACGACTTAACAACCGTAAGATATGTATTACGAACAACAATCTCATAGAAATAATAATATTCAGGCTAATATAGTTGAAGAATATTATAGATTGAATATATTTGTTACATATCTGGATTCCGTTACGTCGCTTACATCACGCTTTTCCGAAGACTCTGTTAGTTTTTCCTTAAGCCTGTTACATCCTAAAATCATAAAAAAATACTTTTTTCACTACCGATTAGAAAATGAAGGTAGAGGAAAAATTTGGAAACGACAATTATGAAGCTGAATACCAAACTGGAGTACGAAAGAGCTTGCTGCACACAATGAGCTCTCCATTAATGACATAGCGTCCAAACATTGTGAATTTTATCCAGACATACAAAGTGGTTTAAAAATTATTTATGGCTCTTCCATCAACGACAGAGTTAATCGAAAGAACGTTTAGCACGTTAAGGCCTGTTAAACATGGCTGCGGTCTATTCGATCAGTGCGAAGTCATGGTAGGGAAAACAAAAGCGATACTAGCGCAAGCTGCGGATAATTCAAGTACTTTAGGGCGATATTCTGTAATTTTGGCGTATCAAATACACGTATACTTTTACTAAAAAAATAGGTTAAAAACAATAAAATGAGCAACCGGAGTTGCTATGTTGCAAATTATACTAGCAAAAAAAAACTGTAAATTATATAAATTTTCAGTAGCAAAATCGAAATTAAATCAAAGAAATAAATGTACAGCTGTATAATAAGAAGAAAAAACCTTTATTTTTATAATAAATACTGTAATACTGGAAATAACAGACATCAGAAAAGGTTTTATATAAACAATAAATTATTATTTTATGATATTCTTCAACATCCCTTAAATCTTAAATGTTTAGCAAATGATTAGATTTCTGCCTTTGATTATTGTATATGGCCGAAATGCAATCTTGTGACTTATTGATAGGAAACCAGTTTTAATCATTAATTTCTTTGGGTTCTTTCAAACTAAAAATGAAGAAAATATAAATTACAATCACAAATATACGTATTATTTTTGTTAATACGTTTTAATTCTTCGTTATGATATAATGGTAATGTTTTTATTTTGACATTATTTAACCTATTCTTCAATGACAACTTATTAGGCTTAGGAAAGATCTCATACATTTTCTTGTAAATACCTGCCTATGTTTTATTATTAATTTTTATTGATTATACTACTTTTTTTTAGCTGAAGTAATAACAATATATAATAAAAATAATTATTTTTTCACTTGTTTTACAAATCCATATACTTTTATTAAAATTAACATATATACTTTTTAATTACGAACTCTATTAAAAATTGTATTGTCAGTATACGCAAATATCGTCCGTTAGTTCATAAAATAGTTGGCGCTGCTGTCACGCACGGAGCGAATAATGAATGATAATAGGCGGACTGAAAAATAAATTATATTTTCTGTCATCGATGTTTTTAGTAGAGAAAAAAGAAATTTAAAATTTGCGTTTTCCTAGTGTTTTTTTTTGTGTTCATTATGTTTGTGTGAATTTTTTTTATGTTTCTGTTTTTTTATCATTTTTTATTTTTTATATTATTATGTATGTCTGTGTCTTCTTTTTCATATTTTTCTATTATATCACACCTTCTGTTTGTTTTTTAAAAATGTGTTTTAAGTTTCTTGTTTTTTCTTTATTTTAGTTTTTGTCTTTTTTATTGGGTTATTTTATTTATTAGAGACTTGTTATGATAACTTAAGTATCAGTTCTGTCAAATAGGTCAATGACATTGTTAGGGTTACTACTAAATTTCCGCTCCCCCTTATCTTCCCTATTCAGTGAGATATCGGAATAATTTTGTTCTGTTTGAAAGACTAGAACAAATACTTTATTATGATGGATTCAATTGTTCTGTGACGTCATGGCTTACTTCTGGTTTTTTTCGGAAATAACAGTAAATCGATTTTTTTTAATTTTAAAAGGAAACCCTCTTTTTTATTGCAAGTTTAAATTTCTAGGACAGTTTTGTATAATAATCGTGTATTGACAATTTTCAGCTGTCAAAATGGCCGCCAGATTGGATAACATTTTTTCTAAATATGTTACTATTAATTCGTTTATGGAAAACATAGGAATGTACGTCCTTTATAAAATCTTTTTAGGATTCAAAATTCCCATTGAGACCCATTTACCGTATACCAGAGGCGTATCTAAGCATTTTTATTATTAGCAAACCGTTTATTAATTCCATTCGCTTTTATCTTCGTTGTTAATTGAGATATTGGAATGAAAACTAATTTATCTAAAAACTTGGGACAAATATTCTCATATAGTGGATTCAATTGGTGTGTGACTTCATGGCTTACTTCTGTTTTATCAGAAATAACAGAAAATCTCAATTTATTTTTAATTTTTAAACAGAAACCCCTGTTTTTATTAAAAATTTAAATTTTAGGAACATTTATGGATAAGAATCATGTGTTGAAAATTTTCTGTCAGCTGTCAAAATGACCATCATATTGGATTTTTTTTGTAATATGTTACTGACAGATAATTTTCAATACACGCTTCTTATACAAAAATTTCCCAGAAATTCAAATTTTCAATAAGAAAAAGGGTTTTCATTTAAAAATAAAAAATAAATTGCGATTTTTTGTTATTTCTGGAAAAACCGGAAGTAAGCCATGACGTCACAGAATAATTACATTTTCATTTTTTTTGTTTTCCAATAAATAAACATTCTAAATTTTTTCAAAATTTTGCCCCTCCCTATAGAATTGTGTAACGACGCCCATGATATGTTTCACAATGATTGCGACATAGCTCACAAAATAAAATTAATTTAAAAGATAATAAGTATTATCATAATACATAAGTAGTAACTACTTAATTATTGTTGAAAAGAGTTCACTGGTACCAATTTTTTTTATAAAAAACGTAAAAATATCAACAATCAAAGAGTGTTTAAAAAATAAATATAAAAATTACCTACAGTATTATTTATTATCAATCATAAAAAGAAAATCAAAACTAATTTTTTTAATATGATTTAAATCATGCACGTTATAAAATCCCAGCAATTGGTACCTAACGTATTATCCAATTTATTTAATTTATTCGTAAATGTTTAATACGGCCATTACACAAATTGTAGCCACTTTGGAAAGTTACCGGGACCTAGACCTATCCTTTGCAAAATTGAAATCAGATAGGACACGGGACACCGTACCACATTTTTTGTTTGTGTATATTCGTAGTTATATTACTTTTATTTAGCCGATTTTCACAATTCCGACATTTCAAAGCAAAAAAGTGACAGTGCTAAATTCTTTATGTTGGACCGATGTCTTGGGATGGACCACGAAACAAAATGTGGAACAATATTTTTATCGAAACTATTTAGTTTTTATGTCAATAAGTGGAAAATCTGGAATGTCCCTTATTTCTTTTAAACTATCATTAAAATATAACACAATATTGAAGCCGTACATTTGGTACTTATATTTTTCTTCTAACATGATATTTTATACCATTATTAATTTTTACGATACATGATTGGTTATACTCTTTTCTTTGGAGTTATACTAGTTACATGCTGTTACAGCTACTTTTTTTGGACATTTAATCCGGTTCTATTTTTTTCCTTTAAATAGCTGTGATTTAGAATTATGTTTTGACATTTGGCCACCACCTAAAATAATTGTAATGTTCCCAAGTAGTGTGAAAATTCGAAAAATAAAATTTGGAAATCGAATTACAAATCCATAACGATTTAGAATTGTTTTGTCGTTTGACCACCCCCTAAAATAATTTTAGTGTGCCCAAGTAGTGTGAAAATTCAAAAAATATAATTTGGAAATCGAATTTCCACTTGTCGAATTTCGGCTTAATAGAAACTTC